TATCGCTTCAAAATACTCAGGCAGGCACCAACGGTGCAGCTGGTCGCTACACGTTGACGGACGTCACGGTGGTCTCGTCGATTGACTACGTGGTTGACGCCTTCTTGTCCGTGGTGGATCTGGCCAATCTTCAGCTCGCCACAAACCTGGCCCGTACTCGTGCAGACACCTATCTGGTGATTGCCGCAGATGCTCTGGCCGATTCTTACAACAATCCCATCCAGGCAGTGGTTGCCAGTAATGCGCGCCAGGCTGCGCTTGTCGTTCCCGACGCCATCGCACCCCGCGCCGTGGGTGTTGAGCTTGACATGGGCGCCCGCGTGCTAAACCTGTCTTTCTCCGAGCCCACAGACGTGCAAAACATCAGTGGCATGGCCATTGGGGCCTATCCCAGTGACATGGTCAACATTGCTGGCTCCTTTGCGGCCACAGATAATTTGAGGCTGTCTGGTACACTTACACTTGATGCTGCTACGATTGACGACTTGAATCGACGCGGCCTTTGTCGCTCGGCTGCCACGTGCACGCTTGTGCTCGGGGCTGGCAGCCTAGTTGATTATCGGGATAATGAACTAGCCGCCGTAGCAGAGGTGGCGGTTGACACCTTGGTAGCAGACGTGAGGGCACCTACATTGCTTTCGTTTGGCTTAAATACGAACAGTGGCACCATTTCCTTGACCTTTGATGAAGTGGTCAATGGCACCTCCTTGGATGTCGAGGCACTGGCACTGGCAGCGACGCCAAGCAACATTCCACTGGCTGGCGTGGTGCAGGGGGCCCTTGCCCTAGACACCACCCTTACCGTGACATTGGACGCCAGTGCCCTCGATTCCATTCGCTTGCAGCCGCCGGTCGGCCGCAGTACCTCAAGCACTACTTTGTCGGGCACGGCATTTGTCCGTGACTCTTGGGGTAACGTCCACGCAACCCTGTCTTCACAAGTGGCCACAACGGTGGTATTGGATACCACGCCGCCCTTGGCACAAGCCGCCGTTCTCAACTTGACGTCCAATCAGCTGATCATCATTGTCAATGAGCCTGTGGCCGTGGCCGCCACACAACCAGAGCTCGTTGCTCTTCGCACTGTGGTCCAAGGCAGCGACGTGGTAGTGGCTTTGACCGCTGCCGATACAACCGTATCGTCCGCTAATGGTAACACACTTCGCATCGATTTGTCTGCCATCACCTTGAACAAGATTCTCGAGGTTCCAAGTTTTGCTGCACCAGGTCAAACAGTCCGACTCACACATACCAGCGGTGCCTTTGTGGATATGTTTGGCAATGACGCCGCCGCTCGTTCCGTTGGCAATGGACTGGAGTTGACAAATGTTGTCCCAGATACTAATGCCCCCTCCCTGGTGAGCTTCAGTGCTGACCTCAATGCTACCACTTTGCGCCTTACTTTTGATGAGCCTGTCAACGCCAGCACAGCCAACTTCAGCAAGTTGTTGCTTGTACGGGAGCAGAACCAGGTCTCCACCGTTTTCCGCTTGTCCAGCGCCGAGGTGCAAGCAGAAACACTATATGTGGTGGTAGTGTATCTCAGCTCAGGGGACGTAGACCGTCTCAATGCCATTGGCAACCTTTATTCAAGTCAAGGCACCAGTTACATGGCGCTCGATGCCGGCTTTGTGCAAGATTTGCAGGGCAACGATGCCCTTGTCTTGGACCTCGCCAACGCGCTTCTGGCCCATTCGTTTGCTGCAGATGAAACGTCCGGTGTTTTGGTGGGTGCGCAGATCTCGCTGACCACTGCCGAGCTTGTGTTGACATTCAGCGAGGTTGTCAACGCCAGCTCTTTGAACGTTTCTCGTCTCGCGGTGGGACCAAGGGCGATGGCCTTGGGCAGCGTGACCCTTCAAAGCTCTGCGGCCAGCAGTCCAACTGATAGTGCGACCACACTGACTATCTCACTGACCCAAAAGGATGTCAAGGCACTCAAGCGCGAGGGTGTGGCGTTTGCACCAGACCGTGCGTTTGTGCAGGCGTTGGCTGGTGCGGTTGTGGACGTCTCGGGCGTCATGGTTCGTACTTCAGGCTTCGTTGCAGCATCGCCAGCAGTTGGGGCAAGCGGAGATGTGGCTGTGAGCAACGTCACGCTAGATTTCGACGCACGCCAGCTTATTGTCACCTTTGATGATGATGTCGACCCCACTAGCGTGAACGTGTCTGCGTTTGCGCTGTCCGACAACACCACCACATTGGCGCTGATCGACTCGTTTGTGTGTGGTAGCTGTCCGGGCAACACGTACCAGGCCACTGCTTGCACTGAGGATGCTCCTGCGGTGTGCACACCTTGCACACCGTGTGCTGGCACTGAATACGAAGTTGCCCCTTGCAACGCTACACATGACACTACGTGTGCATCGTGCTCCACTTGTGGAATTGGAGAGTTTGTGCTCCAAGCGTGCTCGCCCTTTGAGGACACTCGCTGCGCTACTTGCAGTGGAGCCTGCGAAAGCGGATTCTATGAGGCAGCAGCCTGCAACTCCGTCACCGATCGCTTGTGTGCACCATGCACTGCCTGCGGGGACGGAGAGTACACAGTGTCGGCATGCAACGCAACACACAATGCGGTATGTGCAGCGTGCAGCACCTGTTCTGGTTCACAATACGAGTCGAGTGCATGCTGGAGTGGCAGCGACACTGTATGCTCAGATTGTGGCAGCTGTGCTGAGGGAGAGTTTGAAGTTTCGCCCTGTGATGGAGCCAATGCTGAGGTTTGCGCCACCTGCACCACGTGCTCCGCTGGCTATTATGCTGAAACTGCATGCTCAGCAAACGCGAATGCGGAATGCAGCCCATGCACAGCGTGTGGTCTTGGAGAGTTTGTGAGTCAGGCTTGTAATGCTACCCACGACGCCATCTGTACGACATGCACGTCGTGTGGCCCAGGAACGTACCAGTCTGCGCCATGCACCGAGAGTAGCGACTCGGAATGCACAGCTTGTGGGGCGCACTGCACATTGTGTGTCGATGGCTCGCAGTGCACAGCCTGCGAGGGTGGATACGCTCTGCATGACGGAGAGTGTGTGGACACATGCCCCACGGGTACCTTCAATGACACCACCACGGGCACCTGTGCTTTGTGCGATGCTTCATGCCAAAGTTGCACGGGCTCGGCCGTTGACGAATGCGACGGGTGTTATAACAACATGTACTTGCAAGCGGGTCGCTGCGAGAGCAGTTGTGGTACAGGCCAGTATAACAGGACCGTATCAGGCATCGGTCAGACTTGCGTGGCATGCAACTCTTCATGCACAGAATGCTATGGTGGCAGCGCCGACAACTGTCTGACTTGCGATGTTGGTGAGGTTTTGATCGACCACAGCTGTGCACCAGCTTGTCCGGCAGGTTATCGGGAAGAAAATAGCCGCTGCTGGCCATGTACTGTGGGCTGTGATGCCTGCTCCGCAAGTGCGTGCACAGAGTGTGGTTCAGGCTACATCCTGGACAACGGCGTCTGCACGATGGCGTGCGAAAACAGTTTTTATGCAGCTTGAACGTCATAGCACATCTTATTATCGTAATTCTTGCTCTGTGTGACTACATCGTCATACATGTCTGTCTTTTGGGGTCATTTGCTTTGGTTGTTGTTTAATTGGCTCCGCACAAGGTAAAGAGGGCTTTGCCCTTGCTTGGCCCGACAGTGGGATGTGTCTCTTGTTTTTCCCCGTCTTCATTATCTAGTAGCTTGCGCTGAACCAAAGCCGCAGCTGTTCTTGTTCTCGTTGTCGTTGTTGTTTTTTGACCAGATGAGACTCTCCCAAGGTGAAATCTCGGCTGCCTGTGTGTGCGTGTGCGAGTGCCTGTGCTGCAGCCGTATTTTCTTTCTTGGTGTTCCCCTTTACCAACCAGCACAGACCAACCGTGTTCATGTTTTCCCATAATCGAAGGAATGATCTGCATGACACACATGCGACTGTTGTTTCGCCTTGAAGACTCGTCTATTTTCTGGGAGTCGGCAAGAGCCCCAACGCTAGCTATAATGTCACGCCAAAGCAAGCCGTGCTATTAGATGCCTTGAGCAGTTAGATACACTCAAACTCGGTAGCCGACCGTGACCATGGAGAGAACGCGCAAAGGCGTGGATGCTGAGAAGCACAGAGCGCATCGTGTAGGCGGGCGACCAGCTGGCAATGTCTTTGCTCCAATCGGTCTGGATCTCGTTGTAGCCTGATAGGATGAAGAGACAACGACGACCTGCTTCCACCTGAGGGTGGAGGGGAAGCTAGCAGTTGGAGGTAAAAGGGGTGTAGCATGCAGCCTATGATCGCCGAAGAAAAAGAAATTGATGGGTCATTCCAGCATGTTGTCTTCGCAGGCAGTGATGGCGAACTGTTCAGAGGGCCCATCATGATTTTGCGCAAATCGCGGCGTACGTGCGGCTCAAGACGACACTTGTCTTTATTTTTCCATTCTTTTCGATTTTATTTTTATTTTTTTTTATATTTTTTTTTTTTTTTTTTAAAACATGGCCATTTCACCTGCATCCGTGTTGATCGTGCAGCCAACTGAGGCCTCGACCCAAACTCGAAGGCTTACCTGTCAGTGTATGCGATTGATCAGTCATCAGTCACGATGATAGGTCGTAAGAGCTCATTTGGGCTCATTGGTAGGAAGCGCCCAGTTTGTTGGACGATGATAGTGTGCATCGTTCCCGTAACAGAGTTGGCTGCATGCGAGTTCAGGTCATGATGTGTTTGATGTTGCTGCTGCCATCGGGGCTCCTGCCATCCCATATGGGACTTGACTTGAGACTTGAGATCAGGTGTAAATAGGTGAATGAATAAGGTGTAATTGATGAATAACCAGAGAACTGGCTTGTGCGTGGGGGCGCCAAGCCGTGAATCAGGTTGAGAGACAGGCAACGAGGCATGAATCAAGTTCATTTTGTTGGTGAAGGAAAGAGCGAGCGGGCAGGGTCCTTGCAGATTTGGCTCTCAGAGCTCTTCAGACTGGTCGCCAGCCAGTGTTTATTTTATGCTACTGGCTCGTAGTTAGAAGTAATGGGCCATGAACTCACTTGAATGCGCCTTTGTAAAGCCAAACTTGCCATAGAAATCAACCAGGTTATCTTCACAATCCAGAATGGCTTTGTAACAACCGGCTGCACGAGCGAGTTCGCGGATGTATTCGAGCATGGCTCGGCCGAGCCCAAAACCGCGTAAGGAGCTGTCTACCACCACGTCTTCAACGTGGCCGGCTCGTCCGGCATTGCGGATGAACTTTTGCTCAACAAAGAGTGTGCCAGCGGCCACGACCTTGTCCTACGATACGAGGGACGGCATCGACGAGGAATGAGTAAGCAGGTTGACACGCTTTTGGCCCGTGAACCAAAGTAAGGCCCCTCAAGAAACATCATTGCTTGGGGGGGGGGGGGGGATTAGAACGGACCGTTTCCGTGTCAATCATGACAATGACATGGTGTTGAACGTTGGCTGCCATGTCTTTCAAGCGCTCAGCAAATTGCGTTTGCGTCATTTCTCCGACCACAGTGAGTTGTGCCAGAACCTGAAGAAAGCCCCTGAGCAGCGAGAAAAGAAAGAGAGAGAGAGAAAAAAAAAGGAAAACAGGTAGAAATAAAAGGGGGCAGGCCCAGACATGTGCGTTGGTAAAATATATGCAAGCTTTTTCACGGCGAGGTGCGGGGGAGGGTATTTCTGCGATCGACTAGCGACGCAAGGCGAGGCAAGACTCACCGATCGTAGTCACCGGGGGCCAATGGGCGGATGGTAAATCGATCACGATGGGACGCGGGCATGGGGGTATACTAGCCGCAGACGATCCAGGGTAGATGAAAGAGGATCAGATTATTGGCTGGGTGGTTCGAAGCACAACACCAAAGCCATGATGCACGCAAAGGGGAGTCGAGCTACAACCTTGGGGATGAGGTTCATGGTTGAGGGCCGCGGACTGCTGGGAAAGTAATGGCTGAGGCAGGTGCCTTTGCGTGTGAATCCGCATGAATCGTAAAAGTGGATGTTGTGCGCATCGCAGTCGATGATCACCTGGACAAGCCAATGAATGGCAAAGAATCGAGTGGGCGAGGAACCAAGAGTGTGAGGAGACGGGAGGAAAGGAGAGGGGCAGCGATCCTGGAAGGAAGAAGGGGGTGGTTGGTGAGGAGAAGAGTAGTGGTGGTGGTGTTTATTTTCCATACCTTGTAGCAGCCGCGTTGTTTGGCCACGGCTGTGAGGCGCTCGATCAATCGTCGGCCGAGACCTACGGGTCAGGGAGCGGTTGACCATTCAAGTTAAGCAGACGCCAAACTCGTATTGGTCCAGTTTTGCATGGTGGCGTTGACGGGCGTACCCTTTCGTCGCAAGCCTTGATCAACGACCACGTCCTCAATGTGTCCAACGAATCCCAAGTTGCGGATAAACTTGGGCTCAATCACCTGTATTGAATCCGGCGTGAGCGAGGCGAGCGACAGCAGTGCGTGTTTGTGTGCGAGCGAGGGTTGATCGCGTACCACAGCGCCAAAGCCAACAATGCGGTGGAGGGAGACGTCCTCCAGGACCAACATGACGACTTGACCACTGCTCATAATATGCTCCAGTCGCTCGCTATCAAGTCGCCAGTCGAGGCACAAAGCGTCAGTGATGGGCATTGCTA